GGGGGGAGTAATCTGGAGCATGAGACATGGATTATGAAATCAAAGCAAGATTGGCCCAGGTGTCTCTAACAATGCCAGCAGACGCTGAGCACAATCCCTGCACGCAGGAATGAACAGACACAGACACAGGGGAAAAGAGTCTTAAAATCAGAGTGTTCAGCTGTAAAGTAAGCCTAATTCTGACAATCCCTTCTTCTGCTTAATTACTACACTTCAGTGCTACAGTTTCATCACAGTCACACCAGTACTGAGATTTCTCAAAGCACAAATTTCAGAAGGTGGAAAAGAAAAATCACAGTTTTTGTGACAAGGGCACGAGAAAAAAAAAAAAAAGAAGCTGCACAATCTTGTAAGAAAAGTCAAGACAGAAGAGAGAAGGAGAACAGAGGTTTTTCTCGGTTTCGTTAGTCGCTTCTCCCATTGGTCTATCAGGGAAGGCGGGAATGAGACAGAGAGAGAGACTGGAATAAAAAGACAGAGAAAAATAAAGAGGGAATTCCTGTGGCTTGGCACGGACCACCGAAAGAGGCGTGGCCTGTCGTGTGTTTACAGTGTACGGCAGTGAGAAACACGCTCTCTCCAAGGAGTTTGGGCCTCAGATCTGTTGATCTTCAACTTTTTCTTCTGTTCATATCACCATTAAAACAGTTTGACACAATCACATGAACAGAAGAAAAAAGTTTTTGATGGCCAAAAGGTTCCTAGGTTCATTTAATATTATGTGCTTGTTGCTGTTCTACGTTTTTTCCCACCATTCACTCTATTTTGTTTTACTGAACGTTTTATTTGATGGCCGAGTCAGCCTCAGGAATCTCTAACCAGGATAATCACTGTGAAAAATCACATGTTGCTGCTGATTTGTTTCAAGCTGCTGTGTTCATTCGTACTCATCTGCTCACACAGACTCATGTTCGTGCTGATGTTCGGTGTATTGTTTTTGTACTACTAGCGCTTAGCGTATTTTTAGCAGGGGTGGAAATAACGAATTACAAATACTCACATTACTGTAATTAAGTAGATTTTTTGGGTACTTGTACTTTTATGAATATTTCTTTCAAGTGTGTAATTTTACTCATACTAGAGTACAATTTAGACCATGCAATCTACTTCACTACTTTTAAAACCAGAAGTTGCTACTGAGTATGGCCGTAATTTGAATTAATATTCAAACTGTTCATCTGCATCTTTGTAGCCAATAAGGCTCTCAGATCGCGAACGCACCAATTACTTATGACGTAAGCAAAGGAGAACTCTGTAGAGTAGAGTCATTATGGACTGAAGATTTGGAGAAAAAGCCAAAATGAAGACAGAGGACAACACTGTCAACAGAGAAAATGACGAGGTAAAGGCTGAGGACGAGTGCCCGTGGCCGTACCTGGAGGAATTTTTCATGTACAGGGGGCGAAAAGGAGACAGAGTCCAGATGCAACCTTTGTTTGATCTCTACGGTGATAGCAGCTTACAAGACTTCAGCATCTAATCTCAAAACACATATTGCAGTATACAAGGTTTTACAGCTACCTGTATGATACTGTTTTTTATTGTTTGTTTGTGTGGGTTATTAGTTTGGCATTCACATGCGTTTAGTTTTACCCAAGGACCACATGTAATAAATAAATTACTCCCCAACGTCTGTTTTTTATGTGGCACATTCACATGGGATAACCAAAGCCTGAGATTTAGCTGCAATTTACAGACATCTTCCAGATATAATGTTAATGTGCTGCGTTGTCACGACCGGGCCGATGCTTAATGTGTGGGCCGGGCCGGTCTCAGGCTTTGATGTGGTTTTATGAGTCAACACTAAAGAAAACTATAAATATAAAATTGTGTTAATCTACTTGTTGAGGAGGAGGCAGGCCCGACCAGCTGGTTTAAGAGGTAAAAAAAAAAAAAAAAAAAGCTACGTTAAGCTCAGATGGACAGCTGTCACTGGCTGCATGTGAGCATCCGCGCGTCCACTGACCCGCCGGTTGAAATGGACTTGCGACCTGTCCAGGGTGTATCCCACCTCTCACACAGTGATGACTGGACATGGGCACCAGCAACCCGCGCTACCCAAAAAGGAAAAAGCGGGTAAATATAACGGATGGATGGATCAGCTGATCATGCGTGCGTCTTCGCACCTGCTGTCATTTGCAGTGAAGTAGCAGCATAAAAGCAGAAGCGAGCAGCGCGTTCATTGAAAATAGCCTTTTTCTATTTTTCCAATTGATTTTGCTTAAACAAAAACAAAACACGCTTAATTACGTATCGGATCCCGCCCATTTTTGTCCAAATCACAGAGATGCCTATTCACATTGGATTGGTATTATCACAGGAACTTGGAGTTCAGCAAAATATAGCAGGTAATTTGCGGGGGAATTTTTACTTTACAAATTACTGACATGGCAGATTTGCAAGGGATTAACAACACAAACAATCTCTGTAATTATTACAAATAGCATGTGGTCCCTAGGTAAAACTAATCCCGTGTGAATAGGGCTTAAGTATGCAAAGATCTTAGATATCATCACTGCCACCAGTTTGCCTGGTACTAAAATAAGACAGAGCTTCTGAGTGTCTGAGAAATGTGCTGTAGATGCAGCTATTATATACAATAAACCAATCTGAATGTGTTCTATGGACAACACAATAAATCATCTATTGGTTAAAAAGTAATTAACATTGAGTAGTTTTTGAGAAGAGCATCCTGATGCATGTTCAATAATCCAGGTAGAAAAATCTAAAAAAGTTAAATCTGGTCCTCTGGACATTCAAAAAACAAAAGAAAGCAAAACAAAACAAACAAAAAAAAAAAAATGTAGAAATGTTTCGTCTTTCATCCGAAAGACTTCCTCAGTCTGAGGTGCTGTATTCAGCTCAGTCTTATAAATAGCACCTTCTCAGAGTGGATCAACCAGAAGGTGCTATTTATAAGACTGAGCTGAATACAGCACCTCAGACT